CGTAGGGTAGGTCACCCTGAAGTGGAGCAGAGCAAGAGCCAGCATGATTTATTCTGCTCTTGACCTTTGAAGAAAGAGTCTGCAGCCAGCCTCAAAAGAGAGAAGGATTTATTGGACAGTCTTCCAAGAAGAATTCATACTATTTCAGACCTTTGAAGAAGAAGCATTCTACTCCCTGCCTTCAAAAAGAGGAGGATTCAGCAGATGGTCTCTGAAGAGAGAAGCATTGAAACCTCCAATAGATTCAGCAGACTCTGTGAACTTCTAGAGTTTCAAACTTCCAGACCTGTAGACCTACTTCATGGACCTTTGCAGAGATTTAGCAGCTGCACCTGCATCTTGCCCTGCCTCTGACATTGCCTTCAAGGAGCACCACTGGGCTCTGTCCACTGTCTCAAAGAGCTAATCATAGCCCTGGTTCCCCAGCACACCTCCTTGGTACTGTTGAGTCCATCACTCCCTGCTCTAGCATCATGCTTATCCTTCAGACTGCTGCTGTCAGCTACTGCCTTGTCACATGAGTGGCCTTTGTTTGGGACTTCTGGATACTGCAGACACTAATTGGGGTGAGCCAGCTGGCCATGCGTGTCCTTGCAAGCTCTTTTCCCCAATCTCCTGTTTGTTAAATAAACTCTGTTGTTGTTTGACCCTGAGCCTGAGTGCAATTGAGGGTCTTGCAATTGTGTGCATGGATGAGAACCCACTGAAGGTGACCTGTCTCTCACCTTGGTCACTGTCCCTTAGCACTTTTTGGTACTTTTTTCCCCTTAAAGATGGATTTATTTGTGCTTAATAACTAATGATAATGATGAACATAATTATTAAAATTAACCAATAGGTTATAGACTGAGAAAAATATAGCAAGGGATTATAGGCCAGAGGTGAGGTAGGTGAGAGGATTCACCAGAGACAGAGTGGGGAACAGAACAGGCAGATCTACTGAAATACACTGCTGAGGGGAGCAGCAGGTGGGTCAGGAGAAGTCTGCCACAGCATGTGGGCCAGCTCCCTGGCCGGGGATTGAACTCGTGCTGCAGTAGCTTCTGAGAGCTTCATAGTGCAATGCTTTAACCTGAGCCCACTTTTTTGTAACTTGTAAGTACTTTTTGGGTGCTGTTTCACTAATTATCTTCCTATGAAGTAATGTGGCAACATGGAACTAGAGACAAAATGCATTCTACTCCTGGATGCCTTTCCCCACAAAAAATGGAGGAGGAGAAGAAGGCCGAGGAGAAAGAGAAGAAGAAGGAGGAGGAAGAGGTATTAAATAGGTTGGAAATAGCCTACATTTACAACTTAGTTGAAAGGTTTACTATATTATAATAAATCAATAGAAAGGACTATGACACAGTCATTAATTGTGAAGATGAAATATGGAGAATGCTTATGATGTGATATTTAAATAGTATGCACACTATTATTTAGGTATAAATATGACACATGGAAATTAATACATAAAAATGAAAACAGCTATGTTTGGGAAAAGTGATTATGCATTTATTTGATTAACTATGTCTTTAAATTTACAATATTACTTCTGATTTTTCTAAAAACTTATTTGATTACAAGGCAATGTGCTTTGGGACCACATAAACCTACTAAATCCCACATAAGGCACCAACCCTACAGTGGCTCCCATGACCCACTTATGAGGCCATCTGAATAGATGTAGTATTCTAAGGCATTGACTGGGAGGTTCTCTTTTGTGATAGTGTGCTTTGTTTGCTGACTTAGCTTTACAAGGAATCAAAACAACTAATATGGTTTATTTGTCTATTCTTGGATACCTTGAATTCATCTTTCTATCTCATCTATCCATCGCCCTCCCTACCTGCCTGCCTTCCTGCCTATTTACCCTTTGGTGACCCCCAAATTAATATTAGATGTCTAGCAAAATACATCAAAGTATAAGCAAAAACTGGCAATGTTCTATAGTAGCACTTAGGAGCCAGTTTTCTTTCCTACCCTAAATGATAAAACTGTGACACCAAGATTTATACATTATATACTCTCCACCCAGAGTAACAGAGACCCAAAGAAGGGTTGCACAGAGAAACCCAGAAGTAAACTGGCTTAGATCTTTATGCAGAGAAACTGTTCAACAAAGATCTTCTCTGGCAAAGCAGTTTTGCAAACAGCATCACTGCTAACAAAGCCGATAGTCCAGAATGCAGGAAGGAAATTTTACCCTTAAAACAGAAAAAAAAAGCCACAAGGAAAGATAGACAGCAAATGTCTATCTGCTCTCTCTACTCTGTCACATGTGAGAATGTTCAGGAAGGTTTCTCCTCTCCAAGTATGCCTTCCTTTGTATGAACCTTTATTACTCTTAAATGAAAAGAAATACCCCAACTGAGGAGTGGAGAGTTTAGAGTGTGCGCCAGTGTGGAGGTTCATTAAACTCCACTAAGCACTGAGTTGTTAAGTGAATGAGTTTACTGGAAACCGTAGGGTGAAGTATGTTTGATTAGTTGTTAGGATGGAGATGATAAGGTTGGTACCAAGCCACCAAAATAATTAAATAAAGAGTTTTATTTTATTTCCACTGTGGCCTTCATGTAACATTCTGTTTCTCCTAAATCACCTATGTATCTATGCTGATTTTCAAAATGTGATTATAGCTTTTCAGCATTTGCTGTCTCTATGGCAATTTCAAGTCTCAACTGCAAGCAGTCAGATAAGCAGAAAAGAGATATCTGTATATTAGATCCTTTAGTCTACACGAATCATGTCTACATCTAAAACCAATATATGTATAAGAATGCAGGAGAATCTCAAAAACGGTTCAAACTCCCATAAACAGTACTATTTTTAATCTGTTGCCTACTACATACCAATGAGAAAAATCATGGTATCGTGTCATAAACTGCTATGCAAATGATGCTATTTGTAAGTATTAACATAATTTAGTGCTTACAGTCATATTCTCATTTCTAATAATTCTCCCAGAATGGAGTCTTTCTCTGGACTCTTAGCCTGCAGGATAGTCTTTCATCAAGAAGCTGAAATTTTTAATAACCTGCCAGCATATGTTTTGTATGTGCCAGGCTAGGCTTGATGACACAACATCTTCATTATCAAAAGAAACAGGTCTACAAACTGTAATAGGACATTAAAACATGCCTGTGCTCATAAAGTAATGCTTTGATGTCTAAATGTGCACCATTATGATGGTCTTCTGGAACAAAGGAGAATTCTAATCCTAAATTCTCACTAGCTACATTCAGTGGAGATTGCAATTCACTTCCACCTTGAATATGAATTCACTTTGAAGGCAAAAGAATGTCAACAGTCTCTTACAAAAAATAAAAGCATCTCAGAAGTGCTTTTAATTTTTTATTTTATTTGGCTTCTAACTATCTGTGGCTAAGCACAGGTCTCAGCCTGGAAAAAGGTTTCTGAATAATTATTTTTCCCTTGTTATGTTTTATAAAATGATTTGATATTAATTATTCAAGAGTTTCACGTTTAATAATATTAACAATAATGCCAAATAACAACATAGTACAGATTTAAATAATTGAAATTAAATAATGTGCTTCAGGCTTCTAAACACAACTCAGTCAAATGTCAATATTTAAAATATTTTTAAAATTTAAAGCCAAACACTTCAAATTTATGATAGTTTAAGTGTCAACAGAATTCTTTAAATATTTTTGCTTTGGAAGATTGAAGCCAGTAAATACTTTGCACAGTAACACATTTTTTAAATTAAAATGTCATGTTTTCATGGTTTAATCTAAATAGTTTGGCATTAAAAAAGAAAATTTTATGCAATATGAAGTAAAATCTAGTTCAAAGAGAACGTAAGAGAAACCTCTATGGACCTCAAAATTAAATACATTTCCTTGTTTTATTTTTTTCTAGAAGAGTAATTCATTTTGGTATCCTTTAAATAATATGTAAAAAGCTGGTCATGACAGGTACTGCAGTTAGTTTGTTCACTGATGGAGGGGGAAGAAAAGCCCAGAATAGATCATGGGGAGAACAGCAACATTTGTCAAAGGGAACTCTCTCTTCTGACTGTTCTCCAGATTTATTCATCATTTCACTTTCACAAGAATAATGTGGTTCCCTCGTGTGCCCCTCCCTTTCTATCACTTGGGTCTGTAGTAGGAAGCTCAAAGCAGATGCAAATCACTGCACAGCTCACCGCTACTTACATTGGGAGGGAAGGAGTTAGTAAGTGAATTTGCATCTGAATTTACCTAATCAGTTATGCTTTCACCAGGAGGTCAGCCAAAACAGAGATTTGGAATTTTAAAAAAAGCACATCTAGGACTTTGAATGCAAAGTGAGGCTGCTTTTAGAGTAACAGCTTTAATTTTTACATGAAACCATGCCAAATTATTTTTTAAAGTAAGTTGGAAATAGATATGTACCATTTATCCTTCCAACAATATGCGTAGAAAAATCTATACATGTTCACTCAGATGCTAAGACATCTTACCTATTGTTCAGCTTTTGCCAGGAGATTTTCTGGCTGAAATGTATTATTTTCTCAACATCTCACAGGGACCAGCAGTTACATAAATTTCCTTGAATTGTCTTCAAAAACATATGACTGTTGACAGAATGCTATTATACATTAGCTTCCAGGTGACAAGCATTCACTGATAGAATTTCTCGCTCATGATAAAGTACAGCTAGCTTAATAACAACAGTTGTTAGAAGCATATGATCAAGACCTACCTGCAGCAAACAATGAGATTGGTGATGTTATTTGAATATGATAAAAATTGCTTCCTAATTATGGATTATAATCAATATCATAATCAATGTGTAGACATGAACGAAGACTCTCAGAGTCCAAAGAAAGGACATTTAGAATAACCTAATTAATTCCATTCACTTTATAAGCAAGAACTAAGGCCCAAGAAAGTGAAATGACTTGCCTAAGGTCTCAGTACTGGCAGGGGATACAGCTGGGCCCAGAAGAAAGTTCTTTCATCTCCTAACAGTTCACACACACTGGGTTTATGTCAACACTGAATACTCACATGTGCCCACTTCTTGCTCCAGCCTTCTTGGCCATATCTGCGACTTTCCTTTTGGAGCCAGCGGTAGCACTCTAGGTGAGAAGGAACATCACAAAAAGCTGTCCCATTTCCTCCAATCTCAAAGTCCATTTTAAAGAGCCAGCGTTTGATTTCCAGGTGATCAACCACCAGCTGACTCAGCTGTTCTATCACCTGTGGAAACAAGACAAAGCAACTTTTAATACTCTAGCTAGCTCCCTGGATTCCTCCTTATTGTATTAACTAGCAGATATACTTCTCATTGCCTTTGTTGCAAATGTTCTGTTCATCCATTTATCTTTTAGTTATTAAGACAGATTAGAGGAAGTTTTCAGGTTATGTATCTCTGATGGGAAGGAACCAGTAGCCAATGAGATCAAAGACTTATTAAAGTAGAATCTTATTTATGAGTGATTTTGAAATTATCATTTTGCTGGCTTTGGAAGGCAAAAGAATCCTTGAATTTCTGTAATTGCATCTGAGTTTTGTTTTCAGGGTATTATGTGTTTATATATTGAAACTTCAAGTGATTTTTTAAAAGAGTTATGGGCCTTCATGCTTAGTGAAATAAGCCAGAAAGAAAAAGAAAATACTGGATGCTTTCACACATAGCATGAGTATAAAGGACCAGGGGGAAAATAATAATGATAATAATGAAAACCAGAGACATTTTATAGGGGTGGAGTGGGGAATGGAATCCAAAATGGGGGGGAGGGGGAGAGGGGAAGTGCACTGGACTGTGGTGATGGCACAAGGGTGATTTGGTGATGGGAAGCCCACGGGGATTACAACTGAGATGGGAAAAAGCACAAAATGATGTAAAAATAAACATTATATTATTTAAAAAAAAAGTTATGGGTTTGAAACATAAGAGATTTGGATTTTGCTGAACTTTTAAGTACTCTACCTTCTAAAACCTTTGATTTTTTCCCTCATTAATGTGCATGAGATATATTTATTTAGCTGACCTAGTATTACTATATCACATGTACAGTATGAACAAGACAGATAAAGGAGAGAAAGTAGTTATGAAAGTAACTTTTCTAGAATACATATTATCCTGTCTTTTCCCAGAAACAACATTCATTCTCTCATGAACAAGGCATTATCACATGGAAGCTTAAGGGGTAGGGATACAAGCTTTAATATAAACATGATGATGGTGGTGATGATATTTAATATTGCTGAATTCTCAGTAGCAGCCAACCAGGTCTTTAACTAAACTCCTTACTTGAGTTTTCACATGTAATGCTCACAAAATGTCCTATGGTGGGCACTCTTATTGCTCCATTTTATATACAAATAAAAGGAAACTCAGCAAAATTTAAGAACTTGTCCATGATCACACAGTATTGAGGGGCAGAGCAGGGATCTACCTAGATTGCTATGGCTCCAAAACCCATGCTCATTCCCTCTCCAGTAGGTTGTCTGTTTCAACCTGCAGAAAGATGGAGGAGAAAGGTGAGGCAGAGAAAGGAGTCGGAAAAGAAGAAAGAGATGCAGTCAATAAGCCATTAGGGGTAAGTCTGAACAAAAGTCTATAGCAAGATTACTTCATTATAAGTAGTATTGTCCTAGTAGAGCCTTGGAGAAAAAGAACTCATTAGAACACAAAATGATTTTTTTTTTGGTTTGGCCTTTTTAATCAGACTTTCTAGTCTATATTTCCCCAAAAGAAATAAAACAGTACAAACATGCTCTCTTCCTGAGCCTGCCCCATGTTCCTCCTGGCTATGGTCTTCTGTACTGAAGAAGGGCCCTGCAACAATCCTTTTCTGACAACCTTTTGCTCATCAAGGTCAATATTTATTTATTTCACAGTGTGAAAGGAATCAAAGATTGTAGTTCTACAGAAGTCTGGAGCTGGAAGATTAAAGTTTGTTTTGATTAAAGGCACAATCTGCTCTCTTGAGTTGTGTCTTTTAGCAAATCTTTCTGGGGATGTTATAGTATACAGCAGCATGGAAGTGATATCAAAATGGGTGCACTTGGGATTCCTAGCAGCCCTATGCAGCCATGAGGTATTCAATTAGGGTGAAAATGGAATTGTCTTAGTTCCCTAATTATCAAGTGGTGTCTGTGGATAATTTGGGTGTTTAAATGACAAGTACTCTGGTCTATATACCATATGGCCATGAGCACAGCCTAGGAAGGTTTTTGAATGTGCCTTCCAAAGTTACATGCATTTCCCTTTGAGGTTGTATTAAGAGCATAGAATCTATACTTAATTGTATTTTGCTGTGCTATGATCATACATTGCAGGAGTAGAAATGCTCTTTGGCATGTTGATATCCAATAAAATTCCTCTTCCAATGTAACAAAAGATGCCTGGTACAACATTTTTCATTGTATATTTGGAGGTTTCAACTGCTAACAGAATTATTATCAGTTTCTTCAAATCCTATTATTTGTTGCTTCTGAGAATCCTATAAATGGGTGTCTGTTGATGGATCCCCTACAGTAATGAAAAGGATCAATGCTATTGTAAAGACTGCACCACTGGAAAGAATTATGTCCTATCTTTAAGTGAAAATTGAACAGTGCTTTAAAATAGCATTGCCATTTTTGATTATTTAACCAAAGCTGTCAATATTTCATATGGAGCACATGCCAGAAAAAGATCTTGTGTGTTTACTTTATGGCTCAAAACAGGAAATGCTCACTGTGCTCATGCTAGATTTCTTTTTTTAAGTAAATAACTTTAATCAGAAAACCTAATGACTTTATGCTATTTCCAAACATTTATCATTTTTTTTTGTTTGTGCCTCCTTGTTTAAAAGATGTAATATATATTTTAATTGCCATTCATTTTATATTGGTGTAGAGTAAATTAGAAAAATGACTACTACTAAAATCCAACTGATAGCCAGGAATATTTATTAACTTAAGTTAAAATAATTACATCTTTCACCAGCTTTAAGTTTATGATGCACATCAGTAAAAAGTCAGTGTTATTGATTCATCACCATCTGCAAATTCAAAATGCTGACCCACTCAGATAGATTAGGTAGGGTATTCATGATCTGGAGAAATCTCAATGGAGTACTTCAATTCTTGATGGCTTCAGATATATATTTTCCAAACAGAGTAGAACTCAGTTATAACTTGGTTTATTGGCACGTAGTTTGTTCGTGCCATAGGGGAAATAATATCCCCCAGTTCTGATTTGTCTATAAGGAAAATTTTAATCCTGCTTCTTAACACAAACATTAGAGGGAGATTTGCTTCATTAAAAGCTCCTGTATCTTTAGCCACAATCAACATATGAAGCTCTAAAACATCTCATAACAAAGACTGCCTGAGTTCTCATCATTGAAGATGAAAGCAAGACATAAATACTGCACATGCATTTTAAAGTTTTGAAGATTGTTTAATGGCATGTATACATGTAAAATTAACTTTATTTTAAAGAAATGGATTTCACTTGTATTAGGTCTATCCACCCAGTGTTCTGCTGGGAAGTAGAATCAAGCAGTCTACAGTGCTATCTTTATATCCTGGTGGAGGCTAAAGACAGGGAAGTGATACACCAACCCAGGGGAGCTTCCTTCGTGCATTCCTATTAAAATTACCTGTACCTTTTCAAGGCCCTGCCACCTTTAAGGTCTACTTCCTTCCTGAGCCCATGTATTTCCCAAGAAGCACTCTAACCAAAGCTTTGGGGCAAGTAAATAAACTAATCACATCTTCCAACAAGTCTCCAAAGAATATGATTTGTTGAAGGATTTGACTTTGGGTATCATGTACAGGCAACTGACAAATAAGAGGATCCCTAAACATGGTCCTTCACAAACTACCTCAGGTGTCCTGTTCGTTGGACTCCAAAGAAGTAGGTAGCTGAGATTATTTGTATTTGGCTTAGAGTAATGGTCAAGAGATATGCTGAAACAGAAGTTAGGAAATGTTAACAGCCATTTGTCTTTTTATTTTCTTTATTGTGAAAAAAGATAGCAGTTAAGTGGGAGAAGAACACTTGCCCAAGCCAAGATCACTTCTACTATTTAGGGACCTAACTATCTGCAAGACAGATGCACAACCACAAACCCAGTGCAAGGCAGAATCCAGAAGCAAATAGTTTTATGCTTGAAGCCATTTCACTTCCCTTTTCTGAGATTTCCCCCTTCTCTTTCTGGCTCCTTCCTGAGGAGCCAAATCCTGGAGTTTTACAAACCAGACTTGCACAAGTCTCAGGGCCCATGAACTGATCCATATAGCAGGTGACTATATTCACAGGCTCTTCAATACCTTAATCCATTTGTAAATATTTGGGGATATTATACAGTAGGAAGATACTTTAAAATATGAAGTAGATCGCATCAAATCAAGTATTCCACATATTATTCACTGGGTAGAACAGCTTCAGAAAACCTGAAGCTCCAGCAAGGTGAAGAGAATGGGAACTCTTTGGAGAGCCTTCCTTGTCTACCAACATACCTGCTGTCGCGTATAGACATCATATACTCCAGGCGGGACTGGCACGCTGGCACTTTCAAAGACCCGTTTACTTCCGGACTTGGTACTATAGAGATGAGCTAGTTCAGGTTCCGGGCCGAGAATGGGTATATCTAACATATCTGCCACGGCCAAATCATCTCTGTGGACAAGGCCGCTGACAATATAGGCCTCTTTTCCGCAGATGAGATTTTTTATTCTTTTGATTGCCTTGGGACTGTACATCAGAAGAGTGGCCAGGCACATGTGATGCTTCTGGAGGAAGATCATATTATTCTTGTTAAAAAGTGTTCTTTTTCTTGTCCATATACCTCATTTATAATGTTGTACACAATAAATGTATTATTAATAGCAAGCTAGGTTATGACCTATCCTGTTGTTTAGCAGTTTAAATTGATAAAAGCTGTTGGGGTGAGGCTCCATAATCGCTCACATCTTTAGTGTGTTGGAAATAGGCTCACTGGGAATAGAACTAATTACTACACATCTGTATTTATTTGATCCACGTGGAATTATCCTTCTGTCAGAAGGAAAAGAAGCTGGCGGCCTTTGGATAATAGTGATTCATCTCTGCAACACTTCTGGCATGGTTTAACACTAAAGCATCTGGAAAATCAATACAAAAAAATGAAGAAAAAAGTCCCATAGTATTCTTCACTGTACTGGACTCCTAACCTGGCAACTCTTTAAGTGATTCTATAGAAAAAAGGGACTTGACTTGATGCTGTCTTTCCAAAGTTCTATCGCAAAGTCAATTTCAGTAAATGTATATTTTATAATGTTATGGTTCTTAACCAGCACTCTGGAAAGAATTTATAAATGAAACATTTGAAAATTTCATCAAGGCTCTAATTCATTTTCTAATGGAAAATTTTTCAGTAATTATTTGGACACAACTGGGCAATGCATTGCGACTGTCTCATTTAATAAGATAAGTAATTCTGCCATGTCGAATAAAGGCAGAAGACAGAGTCAGATGATCAGCACACCCCAGAGTGAATGCAACCATGTTTCAGCCTCCAAAGAGGGAGGACACAGATGAGTAAAGTTAGCACGTAACTAATAGAAGGCAGAGAAGGGCCATAAAGACCTACAGGGGGCTTCAGAGGCATGGAAGAGGGAGGCAAAAGCACGGGCTAGTGAGGACAGCTGAAAGGCAAATGATTCACTTCTCTTTGGGTCTCAGTCTCCTCATCTCTTAACTGAGTTGTTGTGAGGTTTAAATGAGATAATGCATATAAAGCTTTGAACATAAATAAGAACTTATGAATGCAAGTAAATGTTATTGTGAAAGAGATTACAGTTGAAGTGAATTTTGAAGGATTTTTATCAGGTGAAAATGAGCATGGAAAAGACAGTGGCCAAGGATGGCATATAAAAATCCAAGCTTGTGTTAATTTCTTCTGAAGAAGAGGACAGCATCATACATGAGAAAGTGCTGGGTTTGGAAGTCAAACAGTTCTGGCTTTGAATCCAGCTCTATCACTTATGTAAGTGTCCCAAACTTAGGCAAATGGCAGACATCTTAAGCCTAAGTTTCTCCATCTGTTAAATGGGAATAAAAATAGTCATTTGCTGGATTGCTGTAAGCATGAAATAAAGCCCATGAATGTAATACACATATTAAATTGCACAGCACAAAGTTGATATTCAATAAATGGTAGTGGTTATTATAGGAACTTTTTAACAATAAAATATGTTAGAAATATCATGCAAATAATATAATGCAAAGTGTCAAATTCTTAAGGAAGTTCAAGGGAATTTACAGACTAATGTCTCCTTTCCCAATTCTAGTCACAATGGCATAACAAGGTAGATAATGCTGAACAATTTTGGGGGGATTCAATTGCCCCCCAGTCTGCAAACTGTGTTGGGAGGGTATGGTTACTGAGTATGGGAGAAAGAGAGGGAGGAGAGCTCCTAGATTTCAGTCCTACCTGAAATAGTAACTTGGAAGGTGATTTAGAAAACTTGATCTTTCTGAGTCCCAGTTGCTAAAATTCAAATGAGAGGTTGGACTAGAGTCTCTAGGGTCCTTCCTGCTCTGAAATAATTTCCCCTTCAAAACCAGGGCTCTTTTGGGCATAGCATTTCATGGATACAGAATTTCTGCTTGGGATGTTGAAAAAGTTGAAAGTAGAAAGTCTGATATTTGACCAACAATGTAAATGTACTTAATACCACAAAACTTTACATTTGAAGTGGTTAAAGTAGTAAATTTTATGTGATGTACATATTATTCTGACAAGAATAGCTTCTCTGAGAATTTTTGTGATTTGCCCTACTGGTCTTTTTCTCTAGAATAAGTGTCCTAGTCCAGACTGCTTAGGTCATCACAATATAGTTTTTTATCATCTACTTTGAATCTAGGAAGCCCCAATGTTCTGTTAGAAAATGGCCAGAAATAGCACCTCCTGAGTGTGTGTTCACTGTCTTTCCTCCTTGTTCAGTTTACTCGTTTCACCATAAATTATTACAGAGAGGAAATGGGAAAAAATGGAAATGTCTGTGTAAACTAATCACTCCAATGACAGACTATCAAGTGGGCTTTTCAAGGTCTCTGAAAGAGGATTTCAAGGTGGCAATCCTCTCATGTTAAGTTTATAAGTCAGAGCATTTTGACATGCACTGTCCCATTTGATCCATACAACACTATACTAGTGAACAGCCTCACTTTGGGAGAGGAGGAAATGGGTTCAAGTGATTTTCCCAAAGTCACAAATGAGTAAAAGCACACAGGTGGAATTCAAGTTCAGTATTTGTACAGCAGTCATACTGCAGTTGCCAAAGTTTCTCTCATTTGATAGACTGAGTTGTGAAGGACTAGTGGGTTCAGGAGGTGTGACAAGGGGACCTCAGATCCTGCAGTAGAATCTAATGTTTAAGTTCTGAGTACATCTCCAGCTAAGGTGGGTGTCTGTCTCTTCTAGGTTTGCTTATCTCCTTTGCAAGTACACTACCCGCCTCTATAGTCATCTGTGGGATGCTTTATTTTTCCAGGAAAGATGATATTATAGTACTTTCTCTAATAAAGATCAAATGTGAGTGAATGATGATAGAGGACATATTACTGACCACAGGTCTTATGTGATCATTTAGAGAAAACAAATATCATCAAATCCAAGTTTAACACAGATGACAAAAATTTAAAATATTCTGAATTCCCTAGTATTATAACTACTTTTATCACTAGTTTGTTGCTGTTGTTGTCGACCTGAGACAAAAGTAGTAACCTAAGATGTCTTCATAACATTAGAATGTTCAAAAGTAGATAGGATAACTTTATGACAGCAATTTTTACCCTTACAAATTCAAGCATTCTGTAGTAACTTGGAGAAATATACCAAGAAACTTTTGGCATGTTTTTAAAAAAATTCCCCAAAGTCATCCATCTGAATGAAAATCAACACTGATACAATTATTCATTAAAAAGAAATAAAGCAATAAGTAAAAATGAATAGGAACTAATTTCAAAGTGAGTTTAATTTTTGTATTTTAAAAAGTTGATTGACTATAAGTGATTACTTACACAAATAATTTAAACTGAGAATTAAGTGCTTAAATATTCCTTACTTGTTTCTACTCACAATGCAAACCTAACTTCTAAATGTAATCCAGTGTACCTATGAGTGCAACCTGCTTATCACTATGAAAGTTGAAGACCAGTAAGGATACTTTTCTCAGGGAATAGAACTATACAGTTGGAAAGGACTTTGACAGGATCTAACCCATCACCTCATTTTAATGATGAAGAACAGAGGACCAGAGAGTTTAAAAGAGCATGTCCAAGGTCACACGGTCCTTCAAGAGCAAAACAGGCATTCCAATTCATAATAGTGTTCTAAGGCCTGACATATTTTGGTACTCATTCCCACTAAATGCTTTGGACTAGAATATAAGTCTTGATTTCCTGAACCATTGACAGAGTTGATAATTTCTGTTTTGTTGTGATGTGCTGAGGATCATATGAGAACATAATGGCTGAACATTTAAAAAATGTTAGCTCATTCACTTTTTTTCTCCCGACTTTAGTCTCTTCCTCTGATTCCATGTGCATCAATATACACTAGCATTTCAGATGTGCAGAAACTCCTTAGTACGAGTAGACTTTCGCTCTCATTTCTGGCTGGAGAAAAATCAGGAAATGAACTATATACTAATAATAGTTTATTTATTTCCTTGTATCTTAATGCCTGTGGTAACTCTGGGGAAGAATATTTGGAGGTTCCCAAAGTTACAAGTAAGTGGTGATGGTTTGTCCCCTGCCCTTGCTTCCCTCTTCCGCAGTCAAATGGTACCAATGAAGTAGAGCCCACAGCGAGCTTTGGGGAAAGAATGAGGTATACTGTTATGAAAAAAATAGTCTTCATCTGGATACAAGAAAGAAAGACCTATTTAATGACAATTCGCTGAGTATAACTAGCAAAGTAAAAGTGCTATAGCAACCTCCCCATTCCTGACAGACCTTTTCACAGCACTATTATTTCTCTCCAGCCCCCATTTTTTTGGGGGTGGGATCAAATCATGGTGCATTTGAAGTTTTAATGGGTACTGACACAGTACATTGGTAATTCCTACTCAAGCGGACAATCACTTTCTTTTTTTTTTCTTTAAGTATTTATTTAATATTTATGCATACAGAACTGGGTACAGGCCAGAGGTACTGGGGCAGTGAGAGGTTTCATCTGAGACAGAGTGGGGAGCAGAATAGGCAGACTGACGTAGTACACTGCTGAGAGGAGCAGTGGGCGAGACAGGAGAGGTCTGCTGCGCCATGTGGGTCAGCTCCCTGGCCGGGAATCAAACACATGCCAAAGTGGCTGCAGCTCGCTTTCTAGTGCTGTCCTTTAACCCGTTGCACCACTGGGAAAGGCCTCAGGCAATCACTTTCTCGGGCAACAAAGTTGACTTTGACCAGTTTTAAAGAGATTCTATCTTTATCAGCAAATTCAGAACCCAAAACTCTTAAAATTTCATAGTCTACTGAGTTTTAAATGTTGATTGTTTGTCATGGAAAGTTTAAATTCTTGTTAAAATACAGAAGACTTAATTTCAAGTCATCTCTTCCATGCCTTATTCAAGAACACTGGACCCATAAATTTCCCAAAATTTCTTACCTCAGGATAGGATTCCACTCAGAATTGACCCCATTCATTAAAATCAGTACAAGTTTAAGAAAATTGATGTTTTGAACGTGATATGGTAAATTCCCCTGAGAGGGGAAAATCATGGAATAAAGAGATACCAGAAACAGCGAAATCAGGGAGGGACCCTGGGCTGGACTCTGTCCCTAACTAGCTTTGTGACCAGGGGCAGACCTAGCCTTTCTCTGCTTTGGTGTCCTCCACATAGACTAAGAAAAAGGAGCCACCGATGTTATAAATCCACCTACTTGATGGTACCACCCAATAACTGCAATTAGGTTTCAGCTACAGAGAAACTGGGCAGGGACAGCCAACTAAGTCTGAAAGTTAAATTGGGATATTTATTTCCTATAGTCCAACTAGTAGTCTAATCAGTAAAGCTGTTAAACTTGCAATAATATTTCACTGATGTGTACCAGAGCATTGAAAGTTATAAAATTTCCAATTTAATTTTACTGCATCCCTGAAGCCATAGTAATTAGAAGACAAACTCACAGTGAAGAAGTTTACAGCTTCGGGGGTGATAATTTTGAACCTGTCCTGCAGGTCACTTCTGTCCTCAGGGTTTCCTGATTTGACAGCTGCCCGTAGACTCAAGATTTGATGATAGTACATCAGTAAATCTTCATTCATATGATGGGAACAGATGTAGATGACACTCACATTGGCATCTAAAAAACAACAGGCACAATGTTAATTACTGGTATAAAGGTAAATGACACTGTGAACTCAGGCACTGGATTAATGTTATTCAGCTTAAGATATCAGAAGATATGTATTTTCAAATATCAGAAAATAAATATATGAAGTTAATTTAGATTGCTTTCATACAAATCTTAGCAATTTAACCCTATTTTTTGCATTTTAGCATTTCTCTAAAGAAAAGACAATATCACCTCTGAAAAAATAGAGACAATGATTCCTTCAGAAGGAGGAATCATGTGAGGTACCATGAAATACTTTCAAATAATACATAGGAATTCAGCCCCACAACTCCCATTAACATCAATGGGAATTGCATACTGTTTTAAAAATTTATCCCATTAACTTCAGTAAATTATGAAACAGAGCTATTAACTTTAGAAAGCTGATGGAATTGCAATTTCTTCTTCTGCCTGGACTTGGCAGGGCCAATTCAGGGAATGTCCTGTCCAAATAAATGGTCTGATTATGACCATAGTAATGTTTATTTCAAGAAGCCAACCTTTTCCTTGTTCCATTCCCAAAGAAGACTACATCACTTAAATAGAACATCTAGTGATTCTTGGTTTAAAGGAAACACTGTCTTAATTTAACTGTTCTCTCTCTTATTATGTGCATAGAAAGAAACCCTAATTAAATATCCCATCTAAAGGGAATAGTGAGATAGGATTACCCACTCCAGGCTGCAGAGTATCTTAGCAAGTATGGGCAGAAAATCAGCAGCCAGTGGAGTCATTCATTCATTCATTTATAAAGTAACCAACTGATTGGTTGGGGTAAAACACTTGGCTAGACATGGAGGGAAATACAGGCCTCCAAGCAACTGAGAGCTGCCATGAGGAGCAGCCGTTTCACATGGACAAATGGTTGTAAAATGTGATGGTGAATAGTAGGCACCCTGAAGCATGCAGCTCAAGTGCCTTCAGAAGGTTAGAGGAGGGAGTGCTGTAAAATGTTGCTTCAGTCAGGAAGGGTTGAGAGGGGATTTCAAGACTCCTCTGTTCAGTTTGGCAGAGTATACAGAGCATCAATTAAATACTAGCTCATCTGCCTCAGGACTCTGAGCATATTATTTTATCTTTCGAGGTATTAGTTTATTCCTCTATACGATGGGGAGTATCTCACTTGGGGCACAGAATTTTGGACAGTATTACATGAAAAAATATCCACAAAGCAATTTCTGGTACATAGTAGGTGTTCAACAAATAGTTGAGCACACATATACCCACGGCCCATGCTGACAAACTGACTCCCTGCCGACTCCACCCACATCTGACTCAACACCACGAAGTGGTATCCTGAATTGTTCCATCTTGTTTAAAGGCAAGGTGGGTACTCTGTTAGATTTCCCGAAAGCTCATACATGTAGAGTATGCAGGGGCTACTCAATAATTACTTGTGGGTAGTTGGGAGGGAGGAAGTAATCTGAGAGAATGAAGACATCAGGAAGGTGGAAAGTCTCACAGAAAGTAGTGAGATCCAGGAAGCGCAGCAACCCCCACCTCCTGAGTCAAGCATCTTGAGACTAGAAGCAAAGTCCTCAGAGCAAGCCCAGGGTAGGTACTCCCAAAATGCACATGGTAAGTGCCTCCTTTTTAAATTTTTGAAATTAAATTGCCACAGAAGCCTGAAAATAAATTAGTAAAATAGATTTATTTACAAATACATTTAATAAATAACTTGTATCCGATTGTTGAATGATCAAATTAGCTATGTCAAGTCTTGTATTTTCAAGAAGAAACTAGTGTACTACCAAACTAGTGGTTTTTAATATCAAACTAATTTATTTTAAGTATAACAAAAAGGGACACATATACAAAACAATGAAAATAACTAAAGTCTCTATAACCTTTACTATGGAGAAAATACATTTTTCTTCAGAGAAAATCTAGTGTACACATGATAACAAATCACATTACTGTTTCCCTTTCTTGTTCATTTCTGGCAAAGGAAGACACATCATTGACACTAACATCCAATATCTGTGTGGTTTGATCATGAATTTACCGAAGTTCAAAATTAATTGACAGGCAGATTTGGAAAGGAATTTGTATCAAGCTGAAGGGTGATTTGATTGCCAGTTAACAATATCAGATTTTCTCGGACTTCACTCATCTTGGAACTGCAAATCCTAGCCATGACTGTTTCCCTCTGACCCAGACTTTACAGCCAGTATCTGGATGACAAGTCTCACCAATATAATTCCATTCTTTTTTTTCTCTGGAAAAGCAGGAAACTCAACAACTTTGCTAGGAATTCATGCGATTCATAAAATGAGACAATCATTTGTTCTTCTGCAAGATGATTACTAGTTTTCCTAGTTTCTCCATATATTTACTTTATAAACAAGTAATTTTCTACTAACTACTACTTCTAAACTTTCACTGCTCCTCTTGAAGAAGATTTAGAATTGCATTGCTGTCCTAAAGATAGTGGACCAGGGAAAAACATTTGGTTCACAATTTCTCAGAGACATTCATGTTAACAAAATTTTCCACTGCAGGTAGACATGGACTGAATTCTTGAATTATTTAAAACAGAAGCCTAACATTTGCAAGTCTTTCCCAATAATGAGATCATTTTGTAAAGAAATTCTTTGGTGATGGTTTGTACTATATATAGAAGAGTATATAAAAAGCTGAAGAAAAAAATTAATTCTAATAAATTAGAGCAAAGTCTGCCCTCTGCTGCACTTCAGTGGTTTCCACCCAGTCAGGTTTTTAGTTGAAATAGCTCAGCACTAACAAATCAATCTTAAGTCATTAAAAAAATTTTTTGTAATGCTGAAAAACAATATTATGCCTAGATAATAGATTAAAGCAATTACACTATTATTATTTTAGGACACTGTAAATTTCTAGTACTGATGTATTTTTGTTACCAAATGGCATTTATAAAATAATAATGATGCTGAAATATATATGAATCATGTAAAGTATGTCATTCCAGGGATCCAGCTAAGTTGGTCATTGATAATTTAAAATTCTTTCTTGTTTAGCTTAAATAAGGGCCAAAGCAATTATATTTTAACAAAACAAAGACCTTTTTATTTGGTAACTAATAAAGATCTAGTTCTTGTTTAACCCTGAATATTTGGCCAGTGCCTCCCACATTAATTTCGTGTTATTGCTTAGCCTTTGCGACCTCTACTCTTTCTTCCTAACCTGACCCTTGCCTTTTCTCCTGGCCTCAGATGGGTGTCTGATTTGGAACTGACCAAACCAGTCCTAGAACTTGACTTTTATTAATAATTATCTGTCACCTAAGGACTGGATTACTGAGAATTCCCTCCACAAGCACCTCTTATTCCTAATAGCTAAATGATATGTATTTATGTAAAAGCTTTTAAAACTCTTTTTAAATTTTCCTCTTATTTTCACAATGAAACTTTGATGGTTTTTCCTTTTTTAGCAGCAAGTTCTATTCTTTCCCCAGAGAATAGACAATATCAACAAATAGAAAATGCTCACTTCACTCACTGCAAGAGTCAGTAAATTGAGAAGATTTGAGGCAATAGGAAAGAAATTCTTATTCAAACCTGCCATAAAGAGAATTCAGAAAATGACCCAAGTAAATTGGTTCAACATGTCATTTAGAAAAATTGAAATTGACTTCACTATAAATCTCTTCTTTAAAACAAAGCATACAATTGCCTCGCAAGTAGATTTAGAAATCCAGGCTTTTTCCTTGCAGAGGAAAACAATTAACATTTTATCAACATCCGTATTTCAAAAAGTCATTTGTGCGAAAGTGTTTACTGTACCTGAGATGTCACACAGTCTCCCCAGTTGCATGTTCTGCTGTGTGTTGAAGTCAGCAATGTTTTGTCGCATTGGCTGGGCATATCCTAAAAGGTAAACAAAGTGTCAAGACCCTGAAAGAGCAAGTCAGTATGGCAAAGCAGCACAGTAGGGTAACAGAGTGTCACAGACCACCTTTCCAGGAAGGAATTTTCTCTGAAGCCTCTTGCAGAAACAATCTAACTCCTAAGAATGAGCTCCTTGCTTTGCAGGGGAGTAAGCATTATTCTGGAAGATGTGCTAAGCAGCATATTCTCAACAGAGAGGTTCATATTTTTCAGCACCAGCCATGCGGCTAGGAATGAAGATCATGAAAACATGGAGAAATTTCTGACACCTAACAGGAATGTTCACAAGCACATATAAAAGAATATTATGCTTAGGATTAAAAACAAAACAAAACATGGTTTGGCCTTTTAATTTAAGTGTCCTATGTAGTATTTCGAAGATGTGTCTTAGAACTATTCTAAATTGACATACTTCCTGCTGTCAGAAATATGTATTTAAATAATTTTCAGTACTGAAGAAATATGCTTTCACGCACACCATCGAAGAAGTTTTAGTTGTTAAAGAGCAATAAGGACATTGCAATGAATGTAGTACTTTATCGGCACTCACCAAAGCCCTGAAATTAGCCTTCATGTCTGTTGGGAACAGAGCAGAAGGAAAACACACGTGGGTGACTATTGTCCAAAAATCTTCCACAAAAGAAATAACAGCAGCAACTCTTCTTGTTGGTATTTCAGGGATTAACAATATGTTAAGTGAAATAAAGCATGAATTTAAAAGGCATGCATACTCACAAGCAGGTACAATTGCTTATATGAAACTCAGCAAGTGTAGGTGCAACTTTTTTTTTTTTAAATAAAATTGCTTTTCACGTTTTGAAGAGATGCTTCAATGCCTCCTTGTGGTTAGTGAGCCCAAACACATGTTTCAAGTTAAACTGCTATAGACAAAGTGATTTTAAATACTACATCTTTGCAATGTGACACAGATTTCCTTTTCAGCAGAAGGAAAACTATAGCAATTCAGGCAACAGGGCTTCAGATCAAATGAACTCTGATAATTGGCTCTTTGCTTTGATGTCAGTGTTTAAACACTAGACAACGTCTGGAAATTAAATGAGTTTACAATTCATCTAAAAGTCTCCCCTTTGCTTTATGCAGATGAACTGAAAAACTAGAGAGGCAGAGGACAAATGGGTTGTTTAAATTATTTTTGAAAAACTATTAATTTCTAAAATAATTTGGGAATCATCTCACATATGAAGGCTAATAAAAACAGCAACAAACAATCCCATCTGATGTGCAGTTGCAATATTGTAATTATTGGATTTCTGCATTTGTATAATTCTGTTTTAGAAAGATGCATTGTGAATAACATATATCAAGACTACAAGAAGACAAGAAAAATGTCTAAAGGATAAAGTATGATTAAGAAAAGTGCCTGAGAGCATTCCATGAACACATTTCCTTTCAAAAGTAAAGATAAAAGGCAGTGTGAGATGTCTCATTAAGATGATGTCCAATTTAAAATATAAAGGATGTCTGATCACTTTGTTGCCACATATGCAGCATGCGAGTGAATCAGTCTGTGTTTTAATCAAGTGCTTGCGATCGGTTTGCCAACAAATTACTTGGTATCTCTGTTACCACTGATCAAGAATGCGTGTGAAGTTGCTGTACAGAATTGTGATGAACTGCTTACTCAGTTAACCCTACAAATACCCCCATTTTAAAGACCTGCACGTTAGCTATCTCAGAATACTGTTATAGAAGATCATAAAAAGATCATATGTATCATATGGATACAAAAACATGTTGTAAACTGTAAAATACTATATAAGCATAGCGAATTTGAATGTTCTAAGGAATGTGCACTTCCAAAGCTCATACAACAGCAACAAATTTTGTGACAAGTAACTGACCATGCTACATGAACAGGATACAGTACCATGCACTGCCATCAGCTGGGAGTCAGTTTGCTTATTTGTTTGAAGTCAGATTCCTTCATATGTTTTCTGCAAAGTCAATTTGTTGATATTGAGGTGAAAGACCTCCTCACTGCTGGCAGCATATGTTAAATACCAGAGTGGCTTCACCAGGAAACAATAATAAGGATGTTGTGGCATTAGATTGCTCAGTAGATATAGAAAGTCAGTGTAATACCACTCTTTGCAATATAATCTGTAAGCATATGGATATTTCAAAGGTCAGACTAGAAACACAGGGGGCCTTTACGTTTTCATTTAGTAAACCTTCTACTTCAGCCCTGTCATGTTAAAGATAGGGAATCTTGGGGTAAATGTTTTGTGTCTTGTCCAAGTTCACCTTAAACTATTATTGTATAGTTCAGATATTACACATTTAACTCTTGCGACAAGTATGATTACATAAAATGAGAATGAAGACAACGCTCAACTTGCTAAGTATGAACAGAGAATTCCAGAAGGGGCAGAAAGCCCTTGCCATTTTCCCCACTTTTATTTTCAGTTGTGACAGGCAGGGTAATGGCCCTCCAAAGATACTGGTGTCCTATCCTTGAATCCTTGGACATACAAGTAATCTGAAAATATGGCAGAGGGAAGATAAAAATTACAAGTGAAATTAAAGTTGTTAATTAGCCACCTTTAAAACAAGATGATGATTCTGGATAATTTGGCTAGAACTAATGTCATCACAAGGGCTCTTCAAAGTGGGAAGGTGATACAGGAGCATTGGTGTGAGAAGATGTAACTGTAGGAGAAATGCACAGAGATATGCAATGATGCGGCATAAAGGAGGGAGGAAGGGGCCAGAGCATTTCCTCATCTATTCCTAGAAGGGGGTGACTTCTAGAAGCTGTGAAGAGCAAGGAAATGGATTCTCCCCTAGAGCCTCCAGAAAAAAACATAGCCTTACTAACTCCTTGATAGTAGCCCCTTACGGACTTTGGAACTACGTAACTGTGAAGTAATACATCTCTATGTCTAAGCTTGTGGTAATTTGTTCCAGAGCTATAGCATACAAATATGATTATCTACCTTCCCTTTGTCCCAGTGAGGACCACCCCTTTGAGACATTCTTCTTTTCTTTGACCTCTAACTGAAAGATGAGGGTGGGCCAACATCACTAATAAGAGCTCATAATAAGCAAACAATAAGTATTGTTACTGTTATTTTCTTTCTTGATCTCAGATGAGCCACACTGAAATTCTCAAAAAGAACTTCATTTAAATATAAGAAAATTATTATTATTGTATGCACAGAATTGTTTGTGCGACCAAAGTACACAGCTCCTCCAGCTTATATAGCTGATGGAATCATTATTGGAAGTGTCTGCCAGCTCTTCCAGAAGGGCTCTCAGCCTCCCCACACTGTCATTCTCTTGCACCTTTTTTATGCATTTTTCTCATTTTGTCATTACTTTTTTTGCATGCTTTTAGCATATGTATGTATATCTCTCCTCTCCCATCTACTACTTTTGCTCCTGCAACCAATCAAAGCTCTGGCAGTTCTCAGTCCAGTTAGTAAATGAAGTGTGCCATGAGACAATACTCAAAGAATTTTTTGAATTCCTAGCCCTTTCTCCCCCTTTCTCCTATGTATTTTCACCATTTCTTCTCTTCCTTTCAACATGATACATTTGGGTTTTCTGATCTGGAGAATTCAAAGAATTAAGAATAAATGGGATTTGTACCTTTTCCTAGGTCCTCCCAGCAGATACTAGAACAGTATTGGCCTAATGGGACACTCTTCTTTAGCACTACAAAGAGGAACACAGCCTCTTTCCTCCGGCCATTCCCACCACCTACAAAATAGTCCTAGCTTGACAGTGTTCCATTTGTTCTATATTATTGCCTCTTTTTTTACCTTAAGGAAAGGCATGTAAGAGCTGTCTTTCTGAAAATATCCAACCACTTTTGGTGCTCTATAGAACAAGGATACTCATCAGTGCTGATTGGCGATAATTTCTGTCTTCATTTCAACTGTCATCTCCTTTCCCATCACCAACCCTGTTCACGCTCACACTTCTATCAGATGATAAGCAATTGCCTCTTTGCACCTTGTAATCTGACTCTATTAGGAACACTTTTGCAACTACGGAAGCCCAAGAATATAAACAAGACATGCTCAGTGACTAACCCTCTTTGGGACTGGCATGGGTCTCTGTGACAGACAACTACCATTGCAGTAGAATTACATGTTCTCAAACAGCTTGCATATGATTCTGATGGACTTGTAGTTTCTTTTGTGCCCAAGTCCTATTCAAGGCAGAGAAGGGATTAACAATAGACTTTCATTGATGGAGTAGTTGCCATTTACCTGATTACCAGGGCCTAAGATGATAATCAGGCCCTCCGTTTGACGGAGTGGAGCAGTACCTCTTAACCTTCTTCCCATTTTGAAACATATGATGGTGATGTTCAAGCACAACACATACCGCTAGTGGCATACATAGGGTTACAATAACAGTAGCAGATGCAAGCTGAGGAAGAATGACATTATTACAGAGATAATTCTGAATTGCTTCAATTTATAAAAAAGTGAACCATTAGCCAACTTTGGCACTCTAATAGTAAAACTTTAGGGCAACATGTGACATACTTCACAAATGATTGCATACCAGCATATTGTAGTAATCTAGAGAAATGTGATCTAGACATGGTTATTACCCCCAGGTTTTAATTACTTGTGCAACTGTGAAAGCGCAAGATACTGAGAGAAGAGATAGCAAGAGAGAAGCCTATCTGGGCTCAGCATATGCAGTGCCAGTTTGATGAAAATAAAACTGAAAGTTGTTTAGGGGTAGTTACTAAGGGGTGGGGGGGGCTTGGGAATTTTGTCATGAGAATTTAGAAAACACAGGAGATAGGCAAATATTTATTGAGTTTTGAAAACATTCTCAAGCCAAACTGGTCAGATGGATTATGTGGTTCTGAAAGGCTTCCATTGGAAAAGGTGAGGCCTTTCTCTTTTTCAAACTTTTGTGGCTGACACAGCATTGTATGCAGCTCAAGTGAGAGATTCTCAAAGCAAGTTCCAGAGACCCTTTCAGGCAGTGTG